TTCCTCAAAAAATTAAACAAAGAATTACCATATGATCTGGCAATTCCTCTTTCAAGTATATACCCAAAGGAATTGAAAGCAGGAACTAGACCAGATAGTCACACATTCACACAGTTAACAGCATTATTTATGATATCAAAAAGGTGGAATCCACCCAAGTTGTCCATGGATGGGTGAATGGATAAACAAAGTGTGGTTTACATATAATGAAATAAAATTTGGCCTTAAAAAGGAAGGCAGCTCTGACCCTTGTTACAACATGGATGAACCTTGAAGATATGCTAAGTGATATAAGCAAGTCACAAAAGGACAAATACTGTATGTTAGCACTTACATGAAGGACCTAGAATAGTCAAATTCAAAAGACAAAGAGTACATTGGTGGTTTCCAATGGCTGGGAAGAGTGGGCAATGGGGAGATATTGTATAAAGGATAAAGAGTCCCAGTTTGGGAAGATCAGAGAAATTCTGGAGGTGGATGATGGCGAAGGTTGCACAATAAGGTGAATATACTTAATGTCATCAAACTGTACACTTAAAAATGATTAAAATGGTAAATTTTCTGTTACGTATATTTTACCACAATAAGAAAGGTAAAGAAGAAATTCTTAATCAGGCTTCCCCCTTCAAACATACAAGTCTTGAAGAAAGAAACCTACTTTTTTGTTGTTAAAATACCCAATTACTGAAATAACACTATTTCCAACATAGCCACCAAGCGGCACTTTTGGAAACTTCTTTTTTCCAAGTCTCTTAAATGTTGTACTACATGCATTACACAATGCTGGATACGACCAGTCACTGAAATAACTCTATTCTAATCATAGTGAGCGTGTAGTACTCTTAAAATATTTTTTCCCAACTTTACTGAGATATAATTGGCATATAACATGGTATACATTTAAGGGATACAAAATGATGATTTGATATTTGTGTATATTATGAAATGATTACCACAGTAAGAGAACCCATTTTATTTCAAGACTAGAATTTTATCTTTTCTTTTGATAACTGACTTTCTTTAACCCATTACATGTGTACCATTCAGACTTCATTAACTCATACAAATTAGATTTAGTTAGCTATTGTTAATAAACTTAATGTTTTTATATTTAAGATGTTCTCTTAGCGACTATAATTTTTTGAGACAATGTTGTATAATCCTGTTCATTTCTTTTCCTTATCACTTCTTCCTACACTGATGAAGTCATTAACCATCATGAAAAATACAAGATACGGTCACACAGTGGTTGAACAATTCTATTCTGCAAAGCTACTTGTCTCTTTTACTGAGATAAAATAACTCACTGATCGTATATTGTGAAGATGACATTTACTAGATCATATCTTTCACCTTATTCTGCTTCTGTAGCACTTACTAAGTTTTATTTTGTTTTAATTGTACCTGAAATCCTAATTGATATTAATCAATAGGGGCCTCAGTTTACTAACATCAATGCCACCCACTCTTGTCCTAATACAGCAATACTGTACCCTGTATTCATGCTGGAACTAAGGACTGAATTCAACACATCCTCATATTTAAATCATGCTGTTTGTAATTCTTAAGGTTAACATTATTCAATTGATGGATAAATCAGTTGCATAACTGAGTCCTTGTAATAAAACTTGTCCTAAAGTAGGGCTTACTGTGTCTAACCCTCCTTATCTTTCTCACTGACACCCCATCCTCTGCGAAGCTTGTCTTCCCTACACAACTAACACTCGCTAATAACTCCACCTTTTCACTTACTTCTATTTCCAATAAATCATACAAAATCTACAAAATAAACAGTCCAGTCTCATTACTTGCAAGGTAAATATTACTTAACTGAAAGTGGTTTAAATGTAGCACATATTCATTGTAATTTCTGCATACATATGAGAAGCAGGAATAAAAAATCTTATGTAATTAATTTACAAATACTCAGAAATGACTACAAATGAAATGTAATGCATATATATATATATATAGGAGGTAGTCTCCTTCATTTCCAAAATCACACTATAGTTTGTATCTGAGTCTGCAAATTTCATTTCTAAATAGTATTCCATTTTATGACTATGACCTGGAATGTTTCAATTTTTTGGTTGCTGTGAAAAAAGCTGCTATGAACATTCCAGTACAAGCCTTTTTGTCAAAATATTTTTTCAATTTTCTTGGATACATATCTAAGATTGAAACTGATGGGCCATAGGGTTATGCCTGTTTAGTTTTATGAGAAACTGCCAGATAGTCTTCATGTTTCCTTAGTCATCACGTTTTCCTAGTCTCCTCTGGTATATGACAGTTTTTCAGTATTTTGTTTTCCATAACCTTGACAGTTCTAAAGAATACTGATCAGGCATTTTGTAAAATGTCTCTAACTTAGGTTTGTATGATGTTGTCTCATGATTATACTGGAATTATGGGTGTTAAGGAAGACTATCACAGAGGTAAAGTACCTTTCTTATTGCATTGTTGACCTTTAAAATAAAACAGTTAACTATTTTACCAGCAGAAATGACTTTATTTGGAAACAGCAGAAAATTGCAATTTGGGACAGGCAAGCTATGGCAAAACCATAGGCATGTGCACAGAACAAAAGAGAGGAATGTTCTTTTATAGAAGAAAGCTGGGGTGTTTGGGCAGACACTTGAAGCAAAAAAGTCCATTGGAGGAAACTGCGTAGTTTCTTAAACACTCTCCATTGGATACTCCCACGTGTTGTGGCTTCTCATTGGCTGAGTTGTGGCAGTCTTTCATTGGTTGGGCCGTTGTGGGGGAGGCAGAAAGCAGAAGCCTTCCTCCAGCTGGCTGGTAAAGTAGTTAAACCAGTTGGCATCCCTCTCCTAAGAGTGGTGGGTGTGAGAGCTCCCCCTGGTGGGCCTCCTGATGCCATGTCAGTGAGCTATCCTTTTTCACAGCATCAATTCAGGTTGTTCATCAGATTCACATGGCTTGTAATTGATACTGTTGACTTTGACTCTTGGTCATAGTGGTGTCTACCAAGTTTTTTTCTGTAAAGTTACTGTTAATTCCCCTTTCTATATTATATCTTGTCAATGCAAGTCACTAACTTCAGACAATATTCAAACAGTGAATCAATAAAACCCCACCTCCAGGAGGGGAGTCTATCTATATTTATTATTTGGAATTCTTCTATAAGAAAGATTTGTTCCCTCTCCCCAACTTACGAACCTACTTAGTCATTTATTTATACCTGTATATTTTTGCATCCCCACAACAGCTGAGCACCTCCACCTTCCCCTAAGACCTGTCAACCCCTGATATGTTTTCCATCCCTTTAATTTCATCTATTCTCAAATGGTCATGTGAATAGAATTATATATTATCTACCTACTTTAATGTCTAGCTTCTTTTAGTTAGCAAAATACATTTAAGCTTCATTCATGATTTTGAGTAAGTAAATATCTTCTTCCTTTTTGGTTTGGAGCATTCCATTGTATGGGTGCATCCATGCCGAAGATGTATCACCAGTTAAAGAATATTCACTTTTGACCATTGAGTAAACTTTCTCTAAACATTTGCATATGGAATTTTAAAGGCCTGTGGGTTTACTGTGTAGCTCTATAAATACCTAGGAGTAGGACCAATGGTTCACATTGTAAGTCTTTGTTTATGTTTACAAGAAACTTCCAAAATGTTTTCCAAGTGGCTCTAGCATACCTCACCTTCAACAGCAATAAAGGAGAGTTTCCATTGCTATGCATATTTGACAGCATTTGTTCTTGTCAGATTTATGACTTTTTATCCAGTGCATGAATGTAGATATCATTGTAGTAAACATCTAGGAGTAGAATTGCTGTGTCATGTGTTAATTCCATTCTTAATATTTTGAGGAACTGTCAAATTATTTTCTATAGTGACTGCACCATTTTACATTCCCACCAGCAATGAGGATTCCAGTATCTCCACGTCCTTGGCAGCACTTGTTAGTGTCTGTGTTTTTTGGTTATACTCATCCTAGTGGGTGATGGCTCAAATATATTTTTGTCAAAGCTTTTATGCTACATTGAACTTGTGAAAACGGCTATGTAAACTAAGTTCAAAGCTAGTTTTCATTACTAAACCAATCAGCCCTATAGTCTTTCTCTAAAAATAAAATCTCCCACTCATTCTCAATTCAAACGGCCATTTTCATTCTCATGAAAACCATGCCTTTTTTCGTGTTGGTTCCTAAATTATACAGGTAGTGAATCAAAGAAAAAAGAAAAAGCAAGAGGCCTTATCGTAACGTTTTGGCCTGAAAGAAGATTCACCACCAGCTTCAGTGCGCTGCTGGTCCTTTCTTTGCTATGATCTTATGGAATTCTCCTGAAAAGCCATCAAGCATTCTTGAGTAGTCTGAGAAGGGAAAAAATAAGGTAAGAGGGTATCATTCCCACCCCACTCTGTAGTATTTCTAATGCCAAAGGCTAACACCAAGTGTGCACTTAACACAAAATGTATTAAGACAAGTTAAAAACAGAAGCATACTATGTTGCTTGAATAAGCGACATCTCATACAACCATTATTTCATATTTTCATTTTATTTGGCACTGCAGAAGTTTATATACCTCAATATATTTAAGATTTGACATGGGTAAGCAGTATTTTTCTTTTTCTTTTTTTTTAACAATAAGAACAACTGTCATAAGAGATGTGGAAAAAAAGAACCAGCAGGAGGCTTAGCCCTTAGGACCATTTTATTCCAGGGTTTCTTCACTGCACCAGTTCTCACTCCCAGTCAAAAACCACGCCTCCGGGTTTGTGCTCAGACCTGGCAGTTTGGTTCTGAGCCCCACAACCTGTGTCAAATCCAGACTGACAGAACTACTCACCAATCACAGAACCAGCTTTCCTTTCCTCAGTCCAATCACAGCAGCCCTGAGAGAAGAAAGGGGTGGGATAAAGGGGAGGGCACTAGAAAAGACCACCCACCCATCCGCCCAGCAGCAGGCAAGCGGTTCTTCAGCCTTGGTATCTGTGTGTCAGCCTATGTCTTTGTATTGTCAAGATGTCTGTTTCTAAGAAGTTAACTTTGGACAAGCAGGATGTTAAAGGGAAGTGAGTCATCATGAGGGTAGACGTCAATGTTCCCATGAAGAAGAACCGGATTGCAAATAACCAGAGAATCAAGGCTTCCATCCTAAGCACCCAGTACTGCCTGGATAATGGAGCCAAATCCGTAGTTCTTAGGAGTCACTTAGGTCGACACTTAGGTGTCCCTATGCCTGATAAACACTCTCTAGAGCCTGTTGCTGCTGAGTTCAAATCTTTGCTGGGGTAGGATGTGCTGTCCCTGAAGGACTGTGTGGGCCCCGAAGTGGAGAAAGCCTGAGCTGTGCCAGAGGCTGGTTCCGTCATCCTGATGGAGAACTTGCGGTTTCATGTGGAGGAAGAAGGGAAAGGCCAAGATCCTTCTGGACGTAAGCTTAAAGCTGAGCCAGATAGAATAGAAGCCTTCCGAGCGGCACTCTCCAGGCTGGGGGTCGTCTATGTCAATGACGCTTTGCTCACCGGGCCCACAGCTCCATGGTGGGCGTGAACCTGCCTCAGAAGGCGTCTGGCTTCCTGAGGAAGAAGGAGCTGGATTACTTTGCCAGAGCCTTGAAAAACCCGGAGAGCCCCTTCCTGGCTATAGTTGGTGGAGCCAAAATGGCAGATAAGATCCAGCTCATCAAGAACATGCTGGGCAAGGTCAATGAGATGATCATGGGTGGCGGAATGGCTTACACCTTCCTTAAGGTACTCAACAGTATGCAGATTGGTGCTTCCCTGTTTGATGAACAGGGAGCCAAGATGGTCAAAGGGATCATGGCCAGAGCCAGTAAGAATGGTGTGGACATTACCTTACCTGTTGACTTTGTCATTGCTGACAAATTTGAGGAGGGTGCTAAGGTTGGTCAAGCCACAGGAGCATCGGACATACCTCCTGGCTGGATGGCTTTGGACTGTGACCAACAAGAACTACGCTCAAGTTGTGGCCCAAGCCACGCTAATTGTGTGGAATGGACCTGTCCGGGTATTCGAATGGGATGCCTTTGCAAAAGGAACCAAAGCCCTCATGCATGAAATTGTGAAAGCCACTTCTCAGGGTTGTATCACCATTATAGGAGGTGGCGACACTGCTACTCGCTGTGCCAAATGGAACTCCGAAGATAAAGCTAGCCACGTGAGCACTGGGGGAGGCGCCAGTCTAGAGCTTCTGGAAGGTGAAGTCCTTCCTGGAGTGGATGCCCTCTGCAGCCTGTAGCTGACAAAGTGTGCCTTGCCACCGTTTGCTGTCCTCAGCCTTTACGTCAGCCCAGTGCTTTTACATCTCAGCTTGCCTCTTGCTCTAATCTACCCCTGGGTCAGGATCCAGCCAATGACCAAGGGAAAGGCCCTCAGGAACTCCTAACATCGGCACGGCAGCTCGACTCATTTTAGTTCCATCATGAACTTGTCTCGCTTCAAAATCTCATTCCAACTTTACCATCATAATGTGTAGGGAGGATATATTCTCACATTGCCTATTAAAGGGAGTTGAATACGCTGACTCTCTTTTAGTCCTCTTTGTTATCTTTTCACTCTTGAAACATGGAAACGAGAGAAAACCCAGGTTGTTGGGGAAGGGGGGAGCAGCAGCTAACAAACAATGAAAGTGCCCAAACAAACCAAAAACAATAATTACATTTAAGAACTCATTAGAAAAACATTAAAGCTCTGCTAAGAAGAAATTTCTTACTAAATAAGAAGAGAGAAAAATAAAACTCAAGAGGAACATTAAACCCAAAAAGTTTTAAAAGGGGAAAGAAACTAAACCCAGGGAAGGTATTATGTTGGCATATATGCAGATGCATGCAAGTACACGTTTGCTGGAATGGGAATTACAAATTAAATCCATTTTTTAAATAAAGAAGGAATTATTTTATTTTTAAAACAGATATTCTTTAATAAATAGGTAATAGAACTGCTAAATCTTTAAACTAGATTTCTGAAATAAACTAAAAATATGTACATAGTTTAGTCATGGGCTAGAGAGAGAAAAATTCTTCCATATTGGAAAGTAGAATAGGAAAACACTCAGGAATGTAGAGGAAATGAAAATACTTACTGGAGAATATTTTGCCTAGTTCTGTCAACAAAGGACTGGCACAGGGCAAGGCTGTTAACAAATTAAGAGTTAGAGTGTAGAACCTATGTCCCATAGCCCCAGAGCAAATCAATTATATATCCTCCACATCCTGAATAATTGAGCTTAAAATATGATGTTAACACCCCTGAAACAACATCTTATTTCTAAGAACAATATTGATAATGCCATGGTAATCCCAGGGAAGATGTAAGAGTTAAGGTACAAACTTAAAAACAAGGGAGAAAGAAAACCAAAATCACAGTAATTGAAATAAGATTGTAGCATATTTCTCTCTTGCATAAAAGTCCAGGGTTAAAAAAAAGTAGGTGGACCCCTCTCCATGTCATTTAGGGAACCAAACTAGTGAAACAAATCTGTGACTCTCAGTAGGTTCCATTTCTGTGTAGGTTACATTTTTATTACTTGATTTCTAGCCCAAAGAGGAAATTGTGCAAGGCAAAGTATCTCTTTTAAATACATAACCCACAAAGCTCAGGAAATTTTTTTCACTTATTCTGTTACCTGTGAGTTGTGCAATAAGGCCTCCTTTGCCGTAGAGTCTTGGAAATGTATTCTCTCTAGATGGGTACCTCGTACTCAATTAAAAATCAATACATTCTATTACTAAAAAAAAGTGGGGAGGGGATAAACTCAGGATGGAGGCAGTAAAGGCTTCTGACAGACTGTCCCTCTGGCCACTCAAATATCCACGTGTACAAGTACCCATGAATCCTTCCTACATATAGGACGCATCCCTCTCCAAGAGATACAATCAAATGTCCAGTTACTGCATCCTACTCAACACAGTACCTCTAGGTGATGCCGGGTCTTTTCTATGCAATCCAGTGGGAAGCCCCACAGTCTGGAGAACTGAAAGAAGAGCCATACATGTCTCCAACATCCCTCTCCATACACACCCAATATGCAATAATAGAAAAAAAAGATAACTGCAATAAAAATCCTCACCTACAACAACCACTGGTTCATTGCCACTGTGACATGATCATGGTGAGTCAGAATTTCAAGAACTCCCTGACCTGACAGTGAAACAATTTTCAGGGTTCAGCTCTAGTGTTGGTCTCTGGAAGGAAGTTTCTTATTCACTGTCCCTTTTTGGCCCGTCATTTGGCCATTTGGGAAATGTTCCTCGTTTCCTTGTCTTCTATGCCATCTTTGAAAGTGGATGTTGAAGGGTTGGGCCACGTTAAGGTCAGTGCACAGGTTCCCTAGCTTTCTCATGCTAGTGCAGTTTTTAGAAACCAAGGATTTCTTTATTTGCCACAAATTAAAAGCCTCTGCAGGCCAGACTATTGCTTTTACAACTTTCTCAAGAATCAAGATTTCTGGCCTATTTAATTCCATGTAAAAGAACCTCACCCAGAGGAAAGCCTTTGAGAAAAACCATGATGTTCTTTCTCTTGCTGTTTGTGATACTGAGTCAATTAGCTTTTTCAACTCCTAAAGAACTCACTTTTGTGGCCCATTAGCCAATTTAAATGGCAAGCAACAGGCAGATTAGACTATCTAGTATTTCACTTTTTCTTGCAGTATTTTGCTTAAAACAGCATGTAACAACCCAAACACGCTGATATTCTACCCCTTTCTAATTCCTATGGCTTTAGACTCTGTAGAAATCCCTACTGCAATACCACAGGCAACAGTTTTACCAGATTCCACAGCAGAAGAATGGCCACCATCTCCCAGCCTTCCACATCGCATTGCTCACTTCCCCCCACCTGACTCCTAAGTGAATGCCATGTTTTGTGAGTTTTATTAAGGCAGCATCCAACTTACAGGTAGCAGTTTCTGCCTTAATTAGCCTATAGTCTAGTAGTTCTCAACCAGGGACAATTTTTCCCTATAGGGGACATTTGGCAAAGAATGGAGACACTGTCATTGGTCACAAATGGGGCAGGAGAGGGGTGCTCCGAGGATCCCATAGCCACAGGCAAGGAGGCTGCTAAACAGCATACAATGCACAGGACAACCTTCACAGCAAAGACTATCAGCCCCAAATGTCCCCACAGAAGTTAATGTCTTATGTGCCATTCCCAGATGGTTATGGGTGAGTAGACACTCTTTTCTGAGCTTATCAAGATAACAGAACGGCTGGCAAGGTGGCTCTGCCATCATCTGCACTTGTCTTCCATCTCTAGGAGCAGGAAGACCAGCTGTTGACATTTTCCAGACAATTGGACAAGGAAAGAAGAATCCAGAAAAAGCATCCTGTTTTTAAGGATGAGACCTGGAAGATTCCTTTTGCCTAAACTGAGTAATATGATCATAATCTACCTCATATGGAACAAAGGCAATGTATTCTTGGGGTGGTCATGGGCCCAGTTAAAACCATTACTAAAAAGAAGAATAAAAGGTGGATTTAAGAAAATATCAAGAAGAGGAAACTATTGAAAGTTTTACCCGACCCTGGAAGATCCGTGGAGACCAACCATGCTTTTGTACATGGCATGCAGCCCAAGGTAAAGAAGAACATTTAGAAAACAAGTATACTTAATGGAAGAGAAATTATGCATTAAGGAAATAATATGAGATTCGAAATAAATTAGCAAAAACATAAAAAGAGATGACAGATTCAAGTGTTGCTAGTACAGTATAGTGAATGGTGTTAGAATGAGTAAATGAAAGAATTGAAACTACAGAGAAAAGAATCAGTGACTTGAACTAGAGGACTGGGGGGAAAAAACTAGAATTCAATGCAGATCTAGAAAGGAAGAAACATTTGTGTGTATGTGTATACATACATGCTTATATATCACATACATACATATATTATATACATGTTTGTATGTACATATAATGTCTCATATAGTTGTAACTGAAGTTAAGGTGTTATTCCACAGGATGGTGGGAATGTCTTAGGTTTGGTTCAAACTAAAAGTGTGGGGCTTGATTTGTTGAAGGTTGCAATTTGAGTTATTCAACTCATGTGCTTGGATATTACTATTCATTCATTTTCTGTGCATTTTTTATAAAAATACCTGTATAGAAATAGCTTATTTCAAGCAACATTAATTAATAAGGCTGTCATAAATTTTTTTTAAGTAGGTGCTATATTTCATGGACTTATGCTTCCTTTAACTTTGTTTCTAAGAAGCTTTACACCTTAATTAGTTATTAGGAGTCTCCTAGGGATTACAGCAAAATATGAATTTCCTAAATCAGTGTACATTAGTAATAACCAAGAAGAGTGGGGATATGATAAAAAGTAAGAGCAAAATAATTGGAAAATGACAAATTAGAGACACATGTGAGTTTGTACACAAAAGAGAATGTTTTAGCTGACTGCTCCTCCCTTTGGAGACATGTTTTCTCTCCGTTCAGAGGCCTGGACACTTCCTCCAGGCGACTGTGGCCTCCCCTTCATTACCTCTCCCTCGGGTGTTGTGTCATAGATTTTGCTTGGTTTTCAGCTGTTTCTAGTCCCTGCTCATCCATCTTAATCAGAAGTGGAGGCTCAAGTCATTTATTTTCAGTTTTACACTAACACTCTTTTTAAGACCCAGCTGAGCTGTGGATACATTACCTCATTTTTCAATTTGACCTCCTTTCTTTCCTAATATTGGAAAAGAACATATTTTTCCTCTGGATGAAGGCCACCTTGTTTTTGATTTTCTTTAAATTATCTTTTAGAGATGTTTCAGCATCACAGCAAAAATTAAACAGAAAGTACAGCATTTCCGTACACACCCTGTCTCCACACACATAAAACTTCTACCACTGTCAACGTCCAGCACCAGCTGTACATTTGTCACAATCGAGGAACCTACATTGATGCATCATAATCTCCAAAGCCCAAAGTTTACTCCAGGGTTCAGTCTCGGTATTGATGCTGCGGTTCTTGTTTGTGGAGTCGAAGAATGAACTTAGCAAACACCCAAGGTAGGAGAACCAGGGAGAGGCTTTTATTGAGAGATACAGTGAGAGGACAGAGCTCCTGGGCCAGGAGGGGACAAGTGACAGGGGACAGCCCATGGTGGTGTGTTGTCTGGGGATTTATAGGTGGTTGAGAGACAAAGGGCTAGGGATACAGACCCACTGAACGGTCCCCAAATGTTTATCTTTGAAGAGACACTAAGTTTCTTATCAGTGTTCTGGATTATTTTGCAGAGTTAAAACAA